GGGCCGGTGCTGCGGGGCGGCCCCGGGTCAGGCCGGTGGCGCCGACGGGCTCTTCCCGCGCCGCTCGGGACCTCGGCTGAGTGTTGTGCGGGGTCCGCGGCCCCGGCGCTGTGTCCCGTGGGGGGTGGGCGGGCACCAGCCTCCCCGTATGAGGGGTTTAAACGCGGCTCTGGGGTCAGCTCAGTGGTGAGCGCTGCCCTGGCCTCACCTCCGGGTGGGTCAGGGCGTGTGCGGGTTATTCCCGTTAGCAGACAGCGCGGGGCACAACCGGGGCCGCTTAGGAGCGTGAGGTGTGTGAGAAGTTGGCGCCGGGAGTACCTGGAGCTGGCGCCTTGGGTCTTGAAAATCTGGCTGCGTAACGACGGGCAATTCGCAAAGGCTGCGGCGCTGATGGTTGAGCCAGTGGAGTGCGCAGCTCCACTTAAAAGTGCAATCACGGGGATACGTAAATAAGCATTACCATGGGGGAGCCGGGTCATAGACCGCTTTGAAGGGGAACAGGGAGTTCCTTGTGCGTTTTTCAGTCAATCCCATTCTTCAGGTGTTAGCAGTTCTGTAAAATTACAGTTTACATGAGAGAGGTCAAGGTGACCTGTTCATTGTGGGTTTTGCTGGTGTAACAACAAACGTGATGACATGGCCCTAACGTTGTCAGGACCGCAGCTGTTGGAGGCTCTGAGGGTAGTCAAGGTGAGCACGCAGCTTTGGTGCATGGCAAAGTGTCCCAGGACACTTTTGTTAAAACAAGCAATAGGTGTGATCTGGTTGCCATGATCTGAACAATTTTCTAAAACGTTAAACTCAGATTTTATAGCAAAATAAAAATGTTACTGTGTAGCAATTATTTTTTTTTACTAGAGCCGCCGTCATTTTATATGGAGAAGGATTGATGCTTTGTTGCTCATTTATGAGAACGGAAAATAGGTAAAATATATTCAGGAAGAAAAATTGCTGTTTATCTAATGGCTCCATTATTGGAACACAACATGTGAGTGCAATCTGTACTGCCCTAAGAATACTGAGTCTTTAAAATCTTTACCCATGCAGCCTATTTGATGGTTCAAATGGTCTGCTTTTTCAAGTGGTTTTAAGTAATGCCTCACTGATTGAATTATAATTTTCCTGACTTTGTAATTGCCAAGAATGTCCTTGGCAAAACACACATACAATGTGTTTCATCTGATTTTGAAATGTATTTTGTAATCAGAATAATAAAACTTAATATTCATCAGTTCCTCCCACCATAGTTTCAACTTTTCATTTGTTTTCATTTTCTTGCTTTTCTTTCTCCCTTCTTTTTTAATGTACTTGCATCCTATTTTCCTTACCTTTCTTTTCATCCTCCTTATTCCTTAGTCATCCTCAGCTTTTTACCTTCCATTTGTTTGCCTTTCATTTTGTTCCTGTCTGTGCATCTTATCATCACAAGTTTCTTTACAAAACTTTTGGGATAGCTAAGAATTGATTTATTTATTATTTTTTGTTATTATTTTTTTAAACCTGGAGATTCTGTTTCTACTTTATGTATTCATGAGATAACCCAGCACAATTCTGGAGACTAAAAACTGCTAAAGATCTTTGTAAAATGCTGGAAAACGTTTTCTGTTTTTCCTTCAATATAGAGCTGTGGGTGTTCTTAGTAATGTTACCCCTGCTGGAAGACCTTAAAATCATTTAGGGGGTGATGCTTTACTCTTTCAAAGCAGGGAAAAAAACAGAGAAACAAAAATAAGATACGTTATTGTAACGGTGTTGTAAAAGATGCTATGAGTTAATTGTGAGTTAGGTGTTGTAAAAATTGCGTTGTCTTCAATTACACAGGTGGAAATGAACTGGAGTTTTCAATTCGTTATACAGGAAGGTAACAGGTTTTTTGCAGCTGAACAGCTGTCTGCAGTGCACTTCTAAATGTCAATTTGCAGCTGAGTCTATGCTGTAGTCTTGCTGTAAGGTGCCCTACCAGTTCTCAGCCTGCAAATGGCTTCTTTTATATTGATTAGTTGATTTTATGTTTAGAAAAAGAAGGAAGTAGCTGGCAAATGCCTGTGTTTTTTTTTGCCTATGTTTTAGCAAATAAAAGGCCTTCATAATATAGTAGGTTCTTGTTTCATGCAGTTTCTTCTTTATGCAACAAACCTTGTGGAATACTGTAAAACTATCTGTAACACGTCTGGTAGAGTAATTGATGTTTATGGCATGCATCAAAAAGCTGTGTGTACAGTAATCCTGGAAAAGTCAGGTCCATCCACATGGTTTTTAGATGATAGTTCCTGAATTGCCCAAAGGAAATCTAATGAAATATGTAACATGTTATGTCAAAGCAATTTGTGCTAATAGCTACATAACATTCATTTTGCCTGTGCCTTGTATGAGTAAT